TGCTATGCTAGACACGCTATGCTAAACATACTAAACAAGACATGCTACGCTAGACACGCTATGCTAAACATGCTAAACTAGACACGCTATGCTAGACATGCTAAACAAGGCATGCTATGCTAGACACGCTATGCTAAACATACTAAACAAGACATGCTATGCTAGACACGCTATGCTAAACATGCTAAACTAGACACGCTATGCTAGACATGCTATGCTAGACACGCTATGCTAAACATGCTATGCTAGACATGCTATGCTAAACATACTAAGCTGGACATGCTAAGCTAAGCACGAAGCTGGCATGTGGCAGAGCGGTCCTCACCCGACAGCAGCTGCACACGACACACCTGAGAGGAGGAGCCAGCCGTACCTGGACCAGCACCTGAGGAAGAGCAGGAGATGAAGGTGAGATCTAATCCCTCAGGGTCGGGGTCAAAGGTTACAGCTGATACTCACCTGCCAGGGGCGTTGTGGAAGCGGAGGTATGAGAAGAACGCCAGCAGGACGAAGAAAATGAGCAACGACTCCAGCAACATGAAGCGTGATTGGACAATCAGAGAGTTCTCTGAAACCATAGAAACGCTCACATCAGGTGGTTCTCACAGGCCCTGAACGCACCACGACCCTGCCAAGCCCTTAAGGTCCCACTGTCGGCCCAGTCCCTTAAGACTCACCCAGCAGCAGCAGCAGAGCAGCTCCCAGGGCCGACAGGTGAGAACACCTGAGCTCCAGAATCAGCAGGTAACCCAGCGGGACGCAGAGCGCTCCACCCAGAGCCGGCAGCAGCCGGAGGCTCCACACGCTGAGGCTGCAGGGATACGCTGCGACGCAAAACCAACGCACCTCATTAACCGGAGAGGCTGGACAAAACCAGAGAAGAAGAACGATCCACAGACCTCCGACCTCAGTAGCAGTCCGTCCATCCATCCATCCAAGCCCGGATTAGAGGATTTTGACAGTGTTGCTGAAAAACTGTCTGATTTGTTTTGGCCAACATCCATCATGAATGCTTGATAATTATTGGTCCAAATTGGACGCGTCTTACGCTTTGGGGCGGAGCGTCAGAGATGATTTCTCTCGACGGCGGACAACAGAAAGCATGACAGCGGAGCAGGGACGAAAGAAAAAGAAGAGCGGGACAGAGAGGTGATGAAGAAAATATCCGAGCTAAGAGTTGTTTTAAACCTCATGTTGGACATGGAACAGAACCACCGCCTGGCTAGCAGCGGCTCTACGGAACCTGGATCTGATCTGGTGCCTGAAGTGTTACAGGCGGCAGAATGTTTACAGAAAATCAGAAACGATTCTTCTCCAGATCGTACTATGAAAGCGGTGAGTCCATCCGAACAGGCCGAGTTATCCTCCATCCACCTGCTGGGTTTTGTATTGTCAGCAGGGGCGCAACTACATGTTATTCAGGTGGATGCAAAAACATAAATCCTAAGGGTGAAGGAGCGTATAAAACATACCAAATGATGGATCATTAGAGGCCTAAGAGGAACATTGACCTGCTGAAAAGGTCGTTACTACCAGGGAGAGAATCAAACGTGCAGGATGCCGGGCCTCCAGGACCCACTTTGGGCCCCCCTGCTGTAGGTAGATAAGGTTGGTGGACGGGATATAAAGCTGTTGTGGTGGATGTAGCAATACCAAGTGACCACAACATCAGGAAAAAGGAGAAACTGGAGAAATACCAGGGCCTCAGAGAGGAACTGGAGAAGGCCTGGAAGGTGAAGACCACAGTGGTGCCTGTGGTCATCGGGGCCCTCGGGGCAGTCACCCCCAAACTGGAGCAGTGGCTCAAACAGATCCCAGGAACAACATCAGACATCTCAGTCCAGAAATGTGCAGTTCTAGGCACAGCCAAGATACTGGAGGAGAACCTGAAGCTCCCAGGCCTCTGGTAGAGAGAGAGAGAGAGAGAGAGAGAGAGAGAGAGAGAGAGAGAGAGAGAGAGAGAGAGACCACCCGCGGAGGGTGAGAAGGGAATTTTATGTGTGAGTGTGTGCACGCGTAACTGTATGACCATGATTAAGTAGGGCCACCTTGGCTCAAGCCCAGGGGCCCACATCCTCCTAGATCCGGCCCTGCATCCATCATTCATCCATCCACCCTCTAACTGGTCCCAGTTGGTTCCAACTGGTTCTAACTGGTTTCCTGATTGGTTTTGATGGTTACCTGCTCCAATTCGGTTCCAGACAAAGTTCCCGTCGAAGCCGCCCAGGTAAGCTGAAACAGGAAGAACAGGAAGTGAGTCGCGAGCCCCACTGCGTCCCGGCAGCCCGTTGCCATGGTAACCCACCTCCCAGTGCCAGGAGGGCGTGGCCTAGCGGCGGACCGCTGTCGTCGATGAAGAACGTTCTCTTCATGTAGAGAGAGAGGAACTGGCCGTAGTAGACCTCATCGAACCTGCGCACACACAGAGGTTCTGGTTCCGGTTCCGGCTCCGGGACCGAACCGTACGCAGGTGACACTCACACCACGGCGCCGGGGTAGCCCAGGCCGCTCAGCCGGGTCCACAGAGACAGCAGAGTCACCAGAACCAGAACCAGGTCCAGCCGGGCCGTCACCACTAGGGGCAGCTGCAGCATCGCTGGCGCCTAAAAGGATCAGAACCAGAACCGTTAACCAAGCAGAACCAGCTGCTGAAACAGAACCAGGACTTCATCGCTCCAAAGAACTCGGAGGGCTCAGAACTTCTGGACCGGGCTGGCGGTCCGGCAGCGGCAGAACGCTTCAGATTCCGAAGTTCAGAACCGATTGTCCTGTTATCATACCGGGACCAGAACCAAGATGGACGGTTCTGACTTTTCAAACAGCCCAATGGGCTCTGGAGGAGGTTCAGAACCGAACTTTCTGAAGAGGATCCAGTTTAAACTCAGGAGTGAAAACTGAACTTTAGAACCTGGTTCCGTTCGGATCAATGCTGTGGTCCCTGACAGTTTTCATGGTGAACCGAACCATTCCGTCCACCAGGATCAGATCCTGTCTAGATCAGCAGCGGTTCGGTCCTGCCGGGTCAGCTTTCTACTCTCGCGAGACTTGCCTTTAATCCTGCTCCCGGCTCTGCGGGTTACCTGCTGACGTCATCCAGGTACCGGTTCGGCTAGTCCCGTCTCTTTGCAACTGCAGACCGGCCACTTCTTCTTTTTCTTCTTCTTGTTTTGTAGCGGATGGTAACCAAGACAACGGCTCATTACCGCCACCTGGCGGTATTGATTTTTCATCAATACATTGGAAGTAATTTGCTATTTTTACGTTTTCAATAAAAACTTCCTGTAGAATTTATTCCTCTTCATTTTGCAGATGTTTTTAATAACCTGGTTATGCAGCAGATCTGATCTAGATGCTGCAGATCTTCAGACATTTATATCTGTGACGTCACCACAAAGCATCTTGTGAAAAAAGATTAACCAATACAAATAGTGTTTGTATAATGATATGTAGAAGAATGTCTTGAATGTGTTCATGTTTGTAAAAAGTCCACAGAGTAAATTATCTGGTCACAACTTTACCTGAACTCATAAAAACCCACCTGGGTCTGGCAGCGGGGGGCGGCAGGTGCACCGGGGCGAAGAGACACCGGAAGCCGGACCGAGTTCTGCCCCGAGAGACAGAAACTGGGTTGTTGGGGGAGCTTGACCCAACGGTTCAGGAGGCCTTCTCCTTAAGGACATCAAATCAGGCCGAGGTCCGGTACCGATACCTGGGCGAAGTTCGCTCCAGGCCTGGAGGAGGAGACCTCCTGGGATTATAAACCCGGTGAGACGTTTCCTTGCTTTTCTTTGTTTGGACACAGACGGATGAACCATTTGGGCCCCATCGTTATTTTTTTGTGTGAATGGATCCAAATTTTTTGAGTGCATAAATGCGAGTTTTCGTTGGACATTTATTATTATTTAAAGATCATTTTGTTTTATTTCTGAGACTGCTTCAGATTTGGTTTGGTGTTTATTATGCAGAACTGCAAGAGTAACGGAACCGATTTGAAATGTCTGTTGGAACAGCTGATTTATTAAACATGGCGTCTCCTCCCATCCGCACTCTTCAGCTGACGTGTCCGAGCTTTTTTTATTAATTTCATTCAAATCGTTTTTGCTAGTTTTGATTAAGACAGGCTGTTAATATACTCATATTCTAGTTATTGAATAATTAATGGAATCTTCCGTTAGACGGGGATTAGTTGCATCTGAATGTGTGAACTGTGTTCATAGTGTTTATTATAAATCCATGTGTTTGCTGATTGTCTAAAACACTCAAATCCATAAAAGCTTTTAAACGTCCACTTCTCTAATTTATATTCATTATGACAGATTTAGTTTGAGTTCATCTCCTTCCTCCAGAGGAAACCAGCCAAAACAAATCAAACCCGGTCACATGACCTGCACATGCTGTTCCTCCGCTTCATGACATCTTGATCCCTTCTTAGCATCACTCGCCCTAAACAGAGACGTCTTCTGTCAGAACCTCTCAGTCCCTCTGATGGACAGCAGTCAGCAGTTAAATCTGGTTAAACTTTATTTAACTAATTCTGCAGCTCAAATCATTTATTCAGAAAAATGATTAGTGAACGTCCTCTACCGTCCAGCTGTCCTTTAGTGTGTCACCGGCTGTCTCCAGGTGTGTGTGTGTAACTCCAGGTGGTGTGTGTGTGACTCCAGGCTTTGAGGAGCATCTGAGACAGAACCTCCTGGTACTGGGTCACTGAAACAATAAAAATCGTCTCTGAAGGAACTAATACCTGAGATTTAGCAGAGCTGCCGTTTGGTTCCAACTGATCAATAACTGATCAACCATCAGAGGTCAGAGGTCAGCAGGCTGATGGTAAGAGAAGTGGTTCTGTCTGACTGGACTCTGAAGCAGAACCAGGTGGAACCGGTGGATAACACATTCTGATGCAGAAGGGACCACGCCCCCTTCTGACATGGTTCTGCTGGCACCGGTCCAGTCTGGGTCAGAACCAGGTCCATAAAGCCCATTAGCATCCAGCAGACTCCAGCTGTGCCGAGTCCCGATTGGCTGCTGCTCCTCCACAGCTCATCTCTGATTGGCTCGTGGAGCGTTCCGTGGGCGGATCCTCAGAGAGAGTTCCCACAGAGCTTCCTCTGCCAGGTGATCGCTGAAGTCATTAAAGAACGACATGATGTCATCATCCCGCGCCAGAGAGTACCGCCTGCAGGGACACAGACATCACAGTGATACACTGATGGATGGTGGTTGGATGGTGGTTGGATGGTGGTTGGATGCACTCACTCCCTCTGGAATCCCCTCAGAGTGTCCAGGATGTTGAACTGCTGCCAGCACTTGGAGAAGTTCACCTTTGACCCCAGTGATGTGGTCAAGGTGTCAGGGTTTCCCAGGTGGACGAAGGTTAGGTCCTGCAGGATCAGCCCCCTGCAGGTAGAGCGGGTCAGACAGGGACAGGCGTTAGAGACGTCGTCATGGCGACGCCCAAGCGAGCCCTCGGCAGGTGAACCTACAGGTAAGGAATGCAGGGAGGCTCCGCCTCCGCCAGCGCCGCACGGTACGCCCTGAAGGACGACGAGCTGTCAATGAGCGAGGACATGTCCTCCAAGCTCTGGAAGACACAGGGGACAGGTGAGGGACAAGTGAGGACAGGTGAGGGGACAAGTGAGGACAGGTGAGGGGACAAGTGAGGACAGGTACCTCTGCCGTGCTCCGCTGCCAGTCCAGCCGTCTCAGGGGGGCGGAGTCCAGGGCGGACAGGATGGACAGGTAGGAGTTGAAGTTGTTGAGTTTCCTCAGGTGCTGCGGAGACACAGCAGAGACACATCCACCAGATGGACAACAGGGGGACACCGTCCTCATCCTCACCTCTTACCTTCATCACCTTCAGGAACTTCAGCAGGTGCTTCTCTCTGTCCTGAGCTTTGTCCTGCAGGATGACCACGGAGCGCACCCTGGAGGTCAGAGGTCACAGGTCACACACAGCGGAGCTCTGTTGGTTCTGACCCAACAGAACCAGAACCAGAACCTGGGTTTTCCTCACCAGAAGGAAACGTTGTTGAAGTGCTGAGTGAACTCCGTCAGGTGAGGACTCCTCTCCTCGTTCTGCTCCTTGGACCAAAGCAACACCTCTGGCAGCTGAGACAGGCAGGTGAGAGACAGACAGGTGAGAGACAGAGTGGAGAGAGACAGGCAGGTGAGAGACAGAGTGGAGAGAGACAGGCAGGTGAGAGACAGAGGGGAGAGAGACAGGCAGGGGAGAGACAGGCAAGTGAGAGAAGGGCAG